ATTCCCCTTCCCCCCCCCAAACCCGGACAAAAAAATGTGTTAAAATGCCCCACTCATGCTCAGAAAATGCTCGCGAAAGTGAACTATTTACCCTAAACACCTCCATATTTAAAGATATAACACTTGTGTTCTGGTTCAAAATTTCCCAGTCCAGCCAAATACGTTTCAAATTTTCCACATCCTGGTCACGGACGACGGTCAAATGTGTATGAGTTGGCTGGCAGGGAATGTTGAAGCTTCGATCGACCGGTGCATTAATATAATGTTTATGTTATGTTCCGGAAGTGTAACAACTAGATGTTGAAAATTTGAACTGACCGTTATGAGTTATGAGAATGGGTTTTGGGACTGTTATGTCTTTCATATGAAAGAGGTTTCCTGAGCTTCCATCCTTCTACTCGTTCATTAATCCTGGATCATGTGTAGCACCTGCGACCTTCTGAAGTTCTCAAATCGCTATTACCGAATTAAGAATTTGTCAATGGAACCTTGAGAAACAGACCATTCTCAGTTTATTTCCGAAGATGAGGAGCGTTTATTATCAAGTGGCTTCATTTCAGTCATTACAAGGATAACAATGATATCGAAAACTATCACAATTTTTTCCTCATTATGATTATACTCAAAACATTATCAAAATGTTCGAACGTGAATGTTTACCACCAGCCCAGTTTAGTGGTATGGTGGAAAATCAAATGACAAGAAAATATTTTACTGATATTTCAAGCGGGGGGTAACCATTGCAATCTAATCTGTGAGGTAACCATTTTACCTCAGCCTAATTGAATGGTGGAAAATTGTTTTCTTTTCAAGAGCAAAAATTGCGACGGCTCGTGGCCAATCGCCAAAATAATCCAATGACCCATGGCCAAATAATCTTCCCTCAGTTTGAATCAGTTTACTTTTCCTATACTGATTTCTTGTAGAAATTTGTGTCTTCTCTGTAGTTTTTTGCGGCTTAATTTCTCTATTTAAAATGCTCTTTACCGTTATTTTTTTGTGATAAAATGAATAATTATTCCAAGATAATAAATACGGTGGACTCTTGTCATTCTTAAAATAAACCATCGAAATACGCAAAAGTTTGGTTTAAAATAGTGCTTTCCTTAATGAATAGGGACAATCAAAAAAGGAAATTTTCGTCTTAATCTGTTTTCCTAGAATTCAAAAACTATAAAACGCGTCGGGAAGTAAATTGTTATTCCTTTTTCAAACTGTTCTTCTCTTTATATGGGGATTTACTTTTGATGAAACGAATTTTTCCAAAGGAGCAAATATAACAGACTCTCCCTATTCTTCATATAAAATAGCGAGATACGATGAAATTCTCAAAAATTCAGAGCTTACCTTTGTGAATCAAATGGTGACATCCACAAAGGAAATCCACCCTCACTGATCTGTTTCCCTGTAAGTCAAAATTGAATCTTGAAACGCGTGTGAAAATAATTATGTTGTTCCTTTGTCAAACCGTTTCTCGTTTTCAATAAGGATTTACTTAGCAAGCCCATAGTCGATACTTTAAATCAGGCCATAATATTCGCGTTATATTTACATTACACTTTCGTGAGAAAGTTTCCCATTTGATCATTGTCTTGCTTTTCCTCAAATCTCTTCTGGGTGTTTTAGGGAAAATAAATATTTTATACCCAAGGTCTTGGGATCATGCTAGAATATGGAGTCGATCGATAAGGCGAAAAGAAACCACAATGTAAACACATCGCCGTGAATGGGTATGAAAAATGTCAGGTGTGCTGAAAATATTTTGCGCCAACAACTTTGTAAGCAACATGCACGGGAAAGTGAAATGCAAATTTCATTTGCAGGCGCAAAAAGTACTTTTTAATGAAGACTGATCAATAAAAAACAAAGAGCGAGACGTCAGAGAATAGAAAGAAGTCTTTGAATATTAATACAATTTTTCATGTAACTTAAACCTGATTCTTCAGTCAAAACGTTTTTGCACGAAAAGTATTGCATCACAATCTTTCCAAAATCTTGTCAATTAAAACCTTAAATAAGCCAAGCACACATCAGTTGCAATAAATCAAGTTTTTTTCCTGATATTGCTGCAAAGTGAATCTTTTTTTTCAACTAGACAATCTTTTTTTTTCCACTAGAATCCAGTTGCGCCGCTAATGACGCAGACAGTTTGTGTTTTTTAAAGCCCAAAGTCACTTGGTTTTGAAAGGAGCCAATCTTCTTAATCACGACCATTGATTGTCTTTCTGCATCATTACCGGTCAAAGCTTTTTTTTCAATTTTTCTTATAGCGATATATTTTATATTTCTTGCAATAAGTAACACGGCATTTCGAATAATCCAACGCAGCTGATGTCGCGTTAAAAAATATCCGCCGTAGGATTAAAAGACGGGGACGAAAACATGTTTGGCCCTTGGCATTACATTTTGTGTAAATTGCTAGTGGAGTTTATTTTAAACAGTCGCTGGCTATTTTTCGTATGAGATCTTCTAAAAGGTAAAACTGTATGTAACTGTTGGTTACGTGTGCTTGTAAGAGTAGCACAAGCAATCATTCCATCGCGCATTTACTACCTAATGCGCCAACAGAACTGATTAGCCATCATGCGTAGGCGAAAGTGATGACAACCTAAATAATTATGTGATGTTGTTTTGCAGAGGACACCAAGGAGAATCACGAACCTTGATCGACTTCTGAGAGTTCACTGAGGCTGGTTACAGAGCCACTGCCTTGATCCCTGCAATACGTAGAGTGTCTCAAAAAAAGTTTAGATCGATGACCACGAGGAATCAAGAGTAACCTTTTCTGTCACAAGTTCTGAAGGGCTCCTGTGAAATCATAGCAAGAAAAGAACGAAAAGGCATTGATTAACGCTAAGCCCTGATTGTTAGATGAATAGGTGGCGCAAATGTCATTACCCGAGTAATTTCAGTTTTTGCCGTTGTATACCATGAAATCCGCTTGTGAATGAATTTCAGAACTTAAAAGTAACAGCAAAATGCAGAAAAAGATAAAATTTGAAATTGGACTCTTGAACTGTCCCTTGTCATCCACGTGCACTTCATGCACTTGATGAAAGAGAATTAAACTCAAAGACGTTTAAAGACACGAAAGGCATCCTGAGGAAGAATGACAGTTTTGACGCCAATAAGTAGACTGTAAAGTCATCGTGTTAGCATTTTATTCCAAATTGAAAAACCAGAAAAGCGTAGTGAGCACTAGGAATGAAAAGTGTTTTCCGGCTGCTGTCAGTGTCTCTGAAACAGTTGTGCTTATGGTGATTCCTCGGGCATCCTCTACTGCGCACCCTCTACTGCGCACCCTCTACTGCGCACCCTCTACTGCGCACCCTCTACTGCGCGCCCTCTACTGCGCACCCTCTACTGCGCATGAAAATCACGTAATCAGGCGAATAAGCGCGCACGCATTCCGAGAACACGATATTGTTTTTCAATCAATGAACCAAGTAAAATGGAATGATAATCTTTAGCTCTTGAACGAGCACGGTGCCTGATAACTTTTTGTTTGCATAATTTTGGTGTACAATTTATCCCCTTTCAACCTAAGAAGTTAAAAAAAAAATTCTTCGAATGGAAAAAAGATAAAGCTAAAAGCGTGTACAAAGCCCGTTACCCGAGTATGCAAATTATGGAAAGGAACGACTCGATGAACGTTTTGTGTCTATATCATTTGTATTTGCGTGATTTTCGGACAAATTATCAATTAAATCGTTCCATACGATCGAGACTTTTTACCTATCAAGTTTTTTAAAGTGTTACTACAAAAACCCTGACTTCCAGCCGCAGCAAAATGTACCGTGAACCGATAAAATGACGCGCGAGATTAAAGCTAGTATTGGCATAAATGTTTGTTCAGGCATAATAAGTTTGGCTTGTTATATCTCCTAAACAAGCACGGTGACCTATCTTTTTATTGTATTTTCGAAACAGACATTGGCAAGGAACATTTAAGGCATGTTTTGGCCTGATTCAAAGCTTCGTATTCTTAATAACTCAACTTGAAAGACTTTATATTTCCTGTTTCTATGCTGGAAGTTCCTTTTAAGTGAAACAATTCAAAGCTTACACGGATGGGACAATTTTCCATTCTTTTTTTTTCAGGAAGAGAGAAGGCAAAATTTTCATACCTGTTCTATGATTTGCTTCTCAGTTTAAAACTGAATAATATGAGAGATTTTAGCTATACAATGGCCCTTGATGAAAAAATCTGTTTAAAAAGATTCTGGTGTTTAACTGTGAGTCTCGAATTCATGTGCAAGAGCCAAGGCTCACCGTCAAGCAATGCGCACATTATCTATTCACATTTATTGCGTTTGACGCTAGGAGAACGCAACCCATAATCTTAGGATTCCTCTGGTACACAGTTGGGATTCCCGTGGTACACAGTTGGGATTCCTGTGGTATACAGTTGGGATTCCTGTGGTACTCAAGGATGACCTTTTGTACATGTGGTACTCATTTTCGTCGTACGTCTGCATTTTCTGCGCCATCTTGAATAATTTATCTTGTTTTGTCCACGTCTCATTCCGATGCGAAAATGACAGTTTGCGTTGCATCTGGAACATTAGGAAAATTTTTTCAAACGGATTGTGTTCTTTCAGGAAAAGTAAACCATTTCACGCCGATCTTTCCCTTGGAATTTCATGTCTACCTCGCCTTTAGAGAAAGAGCCGTTTCTTAACAGTTTAAACGAAAACCTCGTTCCAGTTAAAAGGTATACAGCAGCCGTTAAACGTTCTTCTCTGTAATATCAATAAAGTCCTGTCAGTTCAGCTCCTAACATCATCTGCCTCTTTACTGAACAATATTTTCCATAAAGCCTTCAACTACTCTGCAGACGTTTCCCTCTGGTTTTAACTAGTTTACCTCAAACCGCGTAATGGGTACCCAACCATTCGTTCCTGATTCGTGTAAAGCCTGCGTTAGTACGAAAACCAAAGAAAACTTTTAATCTATACCACGTACGCACTTCATAATCAGTGATTACTACTAGTGTTAGCTCATATCTCTGCTGTGGTTGTAATAACCAGATTATTTTCTCTCCCAAAGTTTCTTGGCGCTGAGATGATAAAGTTATGATCTGTTGCTTCATCCGGAGCCACTCTCGGCCTGTTGTTACCGATGATAATTCGCACGAGTGTCCGCCGAAATCTTTCATTCATAATGATATAAACGATTGGATTGTAGACAACAGAGGCCTTAGCCATGAGTTCAGGGATTTCTGCCTCACCTGATGTGAGTACATGGTGTCCTTTGATAGTTGCCGTGAAGCTAACGATGCAATACGGTGACCAGCTCAATAAGAAGGCCACCATGGTTGCTATAATCATTAACACTGTTCTTTGTTGGTATCTTCTGCGTTGTGCGAGGATGAAAGGATCCAAGGGCACAGGAAAGCGTCTAAGCAATCTGTAGTAACAAATTTTTGTTGCATATCATTCACAGCCCGGGTATATTAATGAAAGTCAATCAATTAAGCAAAAGAACGCACTTTCTATCAGCTTACCGGAGTATTTATCCATTAAGAATGTTGAGAGAACACTTGAATCCGGCGCGTGATTTACAAACTTTTGTCGTGTTCTCCCAACTTCCCTCGTGGGTTATTATGCCGTTTAATAATAAAAATTACAATTTCCTCAATTTTAATTGGTTTAAAAAACTCCTATTTTCCACTAATTCACTTGCCAAGTTGTTTTTGTAGTTTAAATCAACCAATCACATTCAAAGTTGCAGTTCAAATCATCTAATCACAACCTTGGTTTTAATCATCACAGACTCCTTAATAAGGGCTTTCTTCAAGATGGATAATTTTTTCTTCTTTTCACGGAAATTGTAGTTTTTATGATTAATTACCGCTACAAACTTACAGAAAATGTGGTCTATTGCTTTTTACAGTATAAACTTACAACAAAACACAGCACGTTTCAATTTTTTATGGGTTTTCCTGTGCAATAAACGATAAGTTTTTGATCAATCAGGGTCCCCGCAGTATCTTAGTTTTGCTATAATAAGTTTTGACGTTATTTCCTCCCTAAACACCGTAGAGTGGTTTTCGATTAAAAAATGCTTCAAAGGCCAAAAACTAAAGTAATCCTATGGGCCAATAGAGGCAAATATAACATTTGCAGGCATAGAAAACATAAATGCCAAAATTTTCCCATTTCATCTGGATCGGTTAAAAGTACATATAAAAACTGCTTAAAAAACCATTTGAAAAACCATACACTTCAGACACTCCATCTTATACTGATCATGAGGCTCAGGTCGTTTTATCTCGATTGATGGCTCATGTGCATTTCATTACCCATTCCCCTTATGAAAGTTAATGGCGGTAAACAGATATATCGTTCAAAACTTAAACCAACCGCGAACTGAACGGGAAAAATGAAGCGTGCGCATTTATAAAATATGATGTTAAAAAAGTGCCAGCAAAAAAGAAAATGTCATCGAAATTTCATCGAATTTATTTTTGGTTAAAGTTTATTACAGCACTGAACAAATTAAAATGATTAGATTGGATTACGTTCAGAACAGAAGTTCACCACGTCAGTTCTTCGTTTTCTTTATTACTTACCTGTGAGTCATGGTAAGGAACGTTGTTATCATTATAAACGGTATAAAGAAACCACCGGCGACTAACAGAACGATATACACAGTGCTCACAAGGTCCTGAGTCGTCCAATCAGGTGCACAGCTAAGACCGGCCTTACCGGGCACAAACCGATTCCATCCTATCAAAGGAGGAAGCAAGGCGACAAATCCATACAGCCATGCGCCCATGATGAGGACTAAGTTTTGTCTGTTAGGAATGGAGTAACTTGGGTTGTTTCTCTTGATAGTTTGATACACTACACCGCTCATTGCTGTTAGAGTACCGATGGATGTAATTCCCGTTATACCGTTGATAAACCCGGACCAAATACAAAGAGGTCCTCCCGTACGCATCATTTGACCTTGCATGTTATTGCTGATGACTGCTGGGTAGCCAAACACGACAATCATGAGATCTGCTACGGCCAGGTTCATCATTAATGGAGTGATGCTTTTCTTGCGGTGTTCCCGGTGTCGAAGGACTATTATGGTGAACAGATTACCAAAGAAACCGAATAAAAGAATGAGGAACATGATCACGCTGTAGCTCCAAAAAACTGAATTCCCAGTAAAGGTTTCCTCATCATGACTAGTCATGTTGGTGTTCGGCCCTTCTGTGGACTCTGTGATTCTCTTGTTTTGTTTTGTTTTTTTGTTTTTTTCCTAAAGAAAAGGAAAAACTAAATCACGATTAAATATGAAGGACAAGATAATTGGACAGTGGTACAGTAGATTTCGTCTCAGTTCAACTTATGGTTTGCGGGTTTTTGTTATCTCATTTATACTATGGAAGCCTTTTGGTCATATTTTATCGAAGATTTTCTTAGTTTCTGAGTACCTGTGATGTTTAAGAACACGTTTCCCCTGATCAAATTTTTGTGCTGACTCGATCAATATACATGATCTGTTCATCCGGATTTACCACCGAAGTAATTATCTCGGCCTAAGTGCTGAAGAATTCTTTTTCTAATGCTGTGAGAAGCGGCAGAACCTGTGAAGAAAAAAATTCTGAGTCCGAAAATGAACCAAAGTGTAAGGCTGATTTCAGTTCCGTCTGCATAGCCAATGTCGGTATTCTTGGCAAATTTCACTCTCATTTTTCTGTGCCATTGAATTTCATGCACATTCAAGTTGTCATACTTGCAAAATTTTAGATACTGTATCTGATACGGTACAACTTAAATAGCTGTTTATTTTAAAACTGACCTTTGAGACTCCCCACTGTGTTAACTCTCTAGATGTTAATTTGGACAACCTATGTGGATCTTACAAGCTTTGTGAACTCTGCTCTAAACAAATATGGTTACTCGCTAGATTTTTCGTCGCTAACATCCTCGAACTTATACGTATACAAGCAGAATAAACTTATGATGTGATTCTTATCTTACTGCCAAAGTCTGCATACTCACTTTTCTTTTCTTTTTTATGGGGTTACATTATGACATGTTTTATTTAAGCGAAAAATCGGATTTTCCAGGGAGTAACCTCGATGAAATATGGAAAATAATGTAATTCAGCATTGGCGCTAAATCGGCTCATTTGCGTCATCAAATTTTTTGGCGAAATTAAAGTAGTGAAGAACACCTCTGATATGGGTTAAATTTTTGCTTTCCTTTTTCAATTTTTCCATTTATCCACACCACTATTCTTCAACATACGATGTCTACGTGGAAGATGTCACGAATCGCTCAAGCTTGATTTGATAATCTTTACTAGAGGCTGCCCGATATTCATCAATAGGAGACAAAATTTTAACCTGTTTCTATCATACCTCGCACGTCTTTCTTTCTTCATTTTCAGTGGAAATTGCAGAAGCTTTACACATATTTCAAATATTGATATCATTATAAAACGTAATTCTGCTGTGATGGCCAGGGAAAAATTAACTTTTCCATTTTTCCTTGACACTAGACACTCAGTTATATAATGCCGAAATAACATGGGAAACTTGCATCAATGTAAAATTAACCCGCTTGGAGTCATTGCACAGTTGTGTACACATAGAGCCTTTGTCTACTTTCTAATTTTACTTACGCATTTGTCGTTCATATAAATCCTCTTTCGATTCCAAAACTACTTGTCATGATGACAGAAGTACGTGATGAAAGGGAAAGCACCTTAAGCGATCGTTTTTACACCTGCTCAGAATGTTATTCACTTTTCCTTGGCCAAGTTTCAATTATTTTTTTAACGAAGGAAAACATCGGTTCCTGTTTCCATAAACAGCGTTCAGCCGAAATCATTTTCATGTCATTTTTATAGTAATGGTGTACAACCACATTTACATTAGGCACATAATGATATTGTTTACTGAGAAAGCTTAGCTGAGTATCTGTGGGGGAGCGTATTGTTGTTACGCTGTAAGGACATTTTTAGGGCATTTCAAATCTTTATCTTGGAAAGAAATCAATTAATCCACGATTGGGTATTTATTTTCAGTTATTTGAAAACATGATCGTCGTGTTAAATGTTGTTTTACTCTTTTCTCGTGCATGAAAAGCAGTAATGGGTATGTATTACAAAAAACAATTCTGCAGAAAGTAAATTAACATCGTGGGGTACTTTTTTTTTTCAAGATTTAGGCGGAAAACAACTTGTTATTGTTAACGAATATCGAAGACAGTTAGTTCCACAGAGGTCCTTAATACCCATGAAAAAATTTAAAACGCGCAAATCTTCTCGAATTTTTCTGATGAGTGAAACACAAAATCTAGCAATTGCGGTGTCATCAGCAAACTCCAATCTGACAAAACCATCATTGATTCTTGATAGCGTTCTTTTAAATAATACTACTCAAAAAAAACCTGCATAAAAGACACTGAAAGCGCAATATTAACTTTTCAGAGCTCGAAAAAGTTTAATTCAACCGTGAAAATCTGTTTCTGAGGATTTTTTAGAGTATTTTTTTTTAATTCATTATGCAATAATTTGCTTGATCACAACTTCATGTAGCTCTGAGAGATTAAGGTGATAAAATAGCAAGCTACAGAAAATTGGAAGAAGATATACGGACTACTTTTGATCTTTCAACCGGATACATAAAGTAGATTTGCTAAAAAATTTAGTTAGTTGAAGGAAATCCCATGACTCAGTATGGAATACGTGGAAGGGAAGATAAACCTATAATCTGGGATGTCGATCTATGTAATAACCGAACACATGACAGACCAACTTCAGTTTGTTCATGCTTCAGTTTAACATTAACGGGAAGTTGTGGCCCAATAAATGCTCTTAAAACATTCCGCTTTTACTTTTTACCATGAAGATCAATTTCGGTTTATGCTTAATGTTGAGATTTGATGCAAATACATCACTGTCATGCATTCTCAGCTATTTTAAAACTTAACTTTTTCAACTTTGAGCTCAGTTTTGTAATCAATCGATGTCAATTTTACCCATCTAAGCAATTCTTGACCTATTTTGGTTTGATTGATCTATTTCTATGTTAATATGTTTACACTTTAATTAATCTCCCTCACAGCGAACGAAATACTGTTCCCCACAAAAAAAAATCACTCTAATTCAGTATGACAGACAAACGGCTACGTTTATGTGAGTACCATAGCTGACCTTGTAGCAGTTGTACAGGATCAAGGCAAATCGACGAAAATCTTTATAAATGATGCCAAAAGGACGTTAAAACTCTTCTATATGTTTAGTTAATCGAATCAAACATAACTTAATTTGCTACAAGGTGAATTAAACTATCAATGTTAAAACAAAGCCTAGCGCAGTAGTTTATGAACTTAAGCCTCTGTTATGTGGTTTTCAATTTCTGAAAGACTAAATCTCCAAATCCGAATACAATTTGCGATTCGGAAGCTCTATCAAATATGAAAGCCCATAAAAACCACAGGAAATGGTTTTTAAAATTAGGTCAAATAAATAGGTATACGAACAAGTTGAGTAGGTAACCCAGGATCTGAATTTGACATCGAAGTAGGACGCTAGACCATGAACATTGCTTGTTGGAGCCCGACGGTTTAATGAGTTGTTGGTTCCTCAGTTGGAGTGATTTTTCACACGATTAAATGCTAAAAAAGGAAAGGAAAAACCCTCCATCGTTAACTCACAACAAACGCAAGCCTAAAACTGCCTGTGAGCAAAATTTCTCAAGCAAGAGTAAACTACAGTAAAAACCCGTGTATAAGAACCTAAAATTTACGAACCTGTTAAGACGAAAATTTCCCAGTTAAGAACCCCTGTTAAGAACCCCTGTTAAAAGAACAAGTTCTACTTTTAGAATGTAGAGTTTGCCCAAATTTGATACACTACGTTGCCTGCGATACAGAAAGTTAACAAAAAACCCACCAGAACACCGGCAGTGTCAAGACCACAATACTGTACTGTCAATACATCCATAGCTGTGCACATACCAGACTGCGTATACAAGTCAACCATGTGAAGCAGGGCACTATGAGACTAGCGTACAGCGCAGTATCACACCCACACCCACCAATACATGTTGTTTTTTTTTCAACAAAAATTTAGAACGTGATTAAGAACCTAGATAGCCTAAATTCACAATAAACACCATTTATATAATAACCTAAGGAAGTTAACGTGAAAAAACCTATGTTCTTACATGCGGGTTTTTTCTGTATCTCAGTCTGTGATTATTCTAAAGCCTTGTGGATTGATCGAGGAATTTCGTTTCATGGTTTAAGCCTCTCTATATCTTCTATATCTCTGTGATGCACGCTAAACGATATGGCTGTGATAAAAGTCGCATTATATATACGTATGCCAGTCACATAAGTCTCATCCCTGTTCAAATCTTGGTTTATTAAGTTTGGAGTACGAAGAATACCTCGTCACATGATTGACGCATAGTAAAAACTTCACAAGTCTCTAAACGTAGTAGTAAAATATTATAAGCGACTAGTTTTGTTTCCTCCCTCAAACCATGTATTTATAGAATGAAAGGAAAAACAAAAACAAAAAACAATAAACTGCACCACACCGGCGGATCAGTTTACACGAGATTGAAAGTGAGATATATCCTATCTGCGACATATATCCGTGGTAACATTTTTTTATGTACTTAACTTTGTTGAAGGTCAGTTGAAATTCCTTGCAATTTCTTGGCATTTAATGCCGAAAGATTTCTACAAAAAACTAAAAAGTCAAAATTCACAACACTTTCCAATCGGGCTCTCTAGATCTCTATCTCTCATTTGTAGGAAGTACCTTACGAAGAAAGAGAGAGGCATATCAAAAATAATAGCTAAAACGATTAATATAGCTTAGAACCGGCAGATGATAGTTTCATAAAGAATTAGATGTTGGAGTTTGATTTCACCTCTGGCTTTAATTAACTTCTACAGCGAGTGACATACAGGGTGACATAGTCAAGCATCAGAATAAGCCACGCACTTTTTCCGGCAGCTCTTGTCATTATGTTAAACTTAGCAGTAGGACAGACGCGTACTTACAAAAAGCTTACATGCAGAACATCCAATTGGTTGCACGAAATTTTATTAGGTAATGACTCGCATAGTTTCAGCTGTCGGGTAAAATTTACAAAAAACAAATTTTGAGATTTAAGTTGGGACTTACCTGCTGACCTGATTTCCAAGAGCGTCGCGCCTCAACCG